CATCGGCTCGGGTCGTGATCCTAGGGTCCTGGGATCGAGCCCCACGTCGGGCTCTCTGCTCCGCGGGGAGCCTGCTTCCTCCTCTCTCTCTCTCTCTGCCTGCCTCTCTGCCTACTTGTGATCTCTGTCTGTCAAATAAATAAATAAAATCTTAAAAAAAAAAAAAGATAAAAATCTTCTTCACAGTGAAGGAAACAAACAACAAAACTAAAAGGCAGACTATACAATGGCAGAAGATATTTGCCAAATGACAAATGACATATCTCATAGTATCCAAAATCTATAAATAACTTATCAAACTCACCCTCAAAACCAAATAATCCAGGTAAGAAATGGGCAAAAGACACAAACACTTTTCCAAAGAAGACATCCAGATGGCTAACAGATACATGAAAAGATGTTCAACATCTCTCATCATCAGGGAAATACAAATCAAAAACCACCATGAGATACCACCTCACACCAGAACGACTAAAATTAACAACACAAGAAGTAACAGATGTTGGCGAGGATGTGGGAAAAGGGGAACTCTCCTACATTGCTGGTGGGAATGCAACCTGGTGCAGCCACTCTGGAAAACAGCATGGAGGTTCTTCAAAAAGCTCAAAAGGTTCAGAATAGAGCTACCCTAAGACCCAGCAAATGCACTACTATTTACCCAAAGGACACAAAAACACAGATTCAGGGGCGCCTGGGTGGCTCAGTGGGTTAAAACCTCTGCCTTCGGCTCAGGTCATGGTCTCAGGGTCCTGGGATTGAGCCCCGCATCAGGCTCTCTGCTCAGCAATGAGTCTGCTTCCCCCTGCCCCCCGAGCCTGCCTCTCTGCCTACTCTGTCAAATAAATAAATAAAATCTTAAAAAAAAAACCAAAACAGATTCAAGGGGAATATGCACCCTGATGTTTATAGCAGCAGTATCAACAGTAGCCAAACTATGGAAAGAAACCAAATATTCATAGAATGATCAATGGATAAAGATGTGGTGTGCATATATATATAATAGTACTCAGCCACCAAAAAGAATGAAATCTTACCATTTGCAATGACGTGGATGGAGCTAGAGTATTATGCTAAGCAAAGTCAGTCAGTCAGAGAAAGACAAATACCGTATGATTTCACTCATCTGTGGAATTTAAGAAACAAAACAGATGAACATACGGGGGCAGGGGCGCAGAGAGAGAAGGAAACAAACCGTAAGACTCTTAATGACAGTGAACAAACTGAGGGTTGATGGAGGGACGTGGGTGGGGGGATGGGCCAGGTGGATGATGGAGATTAAAGAGGGGACTTGGGGGCGCCTGGGTGGCTCAGTGGATTAAGCCTCTGCCTTTGGCTCAGGTCATGATCTGAGGGTCCTGGGATCAAGCCCTGCATCGGGCTCTCTGCTCAGCATGGAGCCTGCTTCCTCCTCTCTCTCTGCCTGCCTCTCTGCCTACTTGTGATCTCTGTCAAGTGGATGGATAAAACCTTAAGATTCTCTTCCCTCTCCACAACTCCCTTTCCCTCTCTGGGGGGAAAGAAAGATAAATCTTAGCATTTAGTCTTTTTTTAATAGATTTTATTTATTTTTTATTTAAGATTTTATTCATTAACTTGACAGAGAGAGACACACAGAGAGAGGGAGAACAAGCAGGGGGAGTGGAGAAGGGAGAAGCAAGCTTCCCACTGAGCAGAGAGCCCGACGTAGGGCTTGATCCCAGGACCCTGGGATCATGACCTGAGCTGAAGGCAGATGCTTAACGAATGAGCCACCCAGGTGTCCCTTTTTAAGATTTTATTTACCCACTTGAGAGAGAGAGAGAGGTCGTGCAAGCACGAGCAGGGGTAGAAGCAGAGGGAGAGAGAAAGGGAGAAGCAGACTCTCCGCTGAGCACAGAGCCCAATGTGGGACTCGATGCCAGGACCCCAGGATCATGACCTGAACCACAGGCAGATGCTTAACCGACTGACCCACCCATGCATCTCCCAAAACCAGGGGCACCTGGCTGGCTCAGTCAGTGGAGTCTGTGACTCTTGATCTTGGGTTTATGAGTTCGAGCCCCATGCTGGGTGTAGAAATAGTTAAAAATATTTTTTTTTAAAAGTAACCTCTCCCAAAACCAGATAAGCAAATTATGTAAGAAAGTGATTTTTTTAGTGTAATTATGTACAAACCCAATTTCAATACCAACATCAAGATTAATTCCTTCAACAGAGCATCCTGCCAGGTACTAAGGTATTGGGTACTAAGGACCTTGGATACTAAGCATCTACAAAGAACAAGAACTCAGAAGGAAGTTAGAACACAAAGAAATTATCTTACATACATTATTTCATTTAGTCCTTATAACAGTTCTGCAAGACAGCTACGAATAGGTCCAAATGAGGACAGTAATATTCAGAGAGGAACCACCACCCCAAGTAGCTAATGGATGAACCAGGACCCTAAACAAGTCAGCCTGCCCCCTGGGGCTCTTCCACTACACACTGCCTAAAGCCCCCCGACCTGGCAGATGACATCATGCTGCCAGCCACATTCAAACACTGCCTGTGTGTCCCCCTGACCCAGTGACCCTTCAGATCCCTTTGGAAAGAACTTCTTTAGAGAACCCAGTGCAGGCTGGACCCCTTTCCCCTGGGCATCTACACTGACCTTTCATAGCACTTAGACCACGAGTTAACTGCTGGATCATTGGCCTGCATTTCCCACCAGTTCTGAGAGGGCAAAAAGTCTACCTCACACATTTTCCATACCGTCGTACCCACTCACGTGCCCTTGCCACGTAAAGGGCAGTCTGCAAAGATGATAAAGAGAAACCCCAGGGGAACCTGGGTGGCTCGGTCAGTTAAAAGCTGCCTTCAGCTCAGGTCATGATCCCAGGATCCTGGCAAAGAGCCCCAAATCCAGCTCCCTGCCTGGCAGAGAGCCTGCTTTGCTTCTCCCTCTCCCTCTGCCTGCCACTCTGCCTACTTGTGCTCTTTGTCAAATAAATAAAATCTTAAAAAAGAGAGAGAGAGAGAGAGAAACCCTAAAACTTTCCGTAAGACATCCTTTCACTTTCATTTTTTCTCTCAGACTTGCGTAGCAGACAATCATCCTTTAAAAACATGTTTTTAAAATGTGTTTCAGGGGCGCCTGGGTGGCTCAGTGGGTTAAGCCTCTGCCTTCGGCTCAGGTCATGATCCCAGGGTCCTGGAATCGAGCCCCGCATCAGGCTCTCTGCTCGGCAGGGAGCCTGCTTCCCCCTTCCCCTCTGCATGCCTCTCTACTTGTGATCTGTCAAATAAATAAAAAAGAAAAAGAAAATAGAAGTGTTTCATGATGCAGACAAGATGTGCTCCCAATTTTTAGAGGATAAAAGAAATGATACTCGGTGCAAAAGTATATAGAAAGTGTAGTCTTAAGGAAGAATAAAACTTGAGTTTCTGTGGTTTCAGCAGGAGGAAATGACAGGGGAGCTGTCAGAGCTGAGGACAGAGCATCTGTCAGCCAAAACAATTCTTAGCCCAGTCTCCATAAAATGTCAATCAAGGGATGCCTGGCTGGCTCAGTGGGAAGAACACGTGACTCCTATTTTTAAGTTTTTATTTATTTGACAGAGAAACAGCAAGAGAGGGAACACAAGCAGGGGGAGTGGGAGAGAGAGAAGCAGGCTTCCCGCCAAGCAGGGAGCCTGATGTAGGGCTCGATCCCAGGAGCCTGAGACCATGACCTGAGCAGAAGGCAGACACTTAACGAATGAGCCACCCAGGTGCCCCTATTTTCTCTAGATTTTTATTTATTTGAGATAGAGAGGGGCCATGAGTAGGAGAGAAGGGCAGAGGGAGAAGCAGACTCCCCACTGAAGTGCCTGACTCAGGATTCGATCCCAGGATCCTGGGATCATGACCTGGGCCGAAGGGAGCTGCTTAACCGAGCCACCCAGACACCCCAAATATAATTAAAAAATAAAACGTTTTGTGGGGGGCATGAGTGGTGGAGGTCGGGGGGAGCGTAGCAGAGAGGGAGAGCAGACTCCCCACTGAGCATAGAGCCCAACTCAGGGCTTGATCCCGGGACCATGACCAGAGCCGAAGGCAGATGCTTAACCAACTGAGCCACCCAAGTGCCCCAAGAATCTACATTCTTTTTTTTTTTTTTTTTTTTTAAACATTTTATTTATTTATTTGAGAGAAGAGAGAGACAGTGAGAGAGAGCATGGCAAGGAGAAGGTCAGAGGGAGAAGCAGACTCCCCATGGAGCTGGGAGCCCGATGTGGGACTCGATCCCGGGACTCCAGGATCATGACCTGAGCCGAAGGCAGTCGCTCAACCAACTGAGCCACCCAGGCGCCCCTCTTTTTTTTTTTTTTAATTTATTTGACAGAGATCACAAGTAGGCAGAGAGGCAGGCAGAGATAGAGGAGGAAGCAGGCTCCCCGCCGAGCAGAGAGCCCGATGCGGGGCTTGATCCCAGGACCCTGGGATCATGACCTGAGCTGAAGGCAGAGGCTTTAACCCACTGAGCCACCCAGGCACCCCAAGAATCTACATTCTTTTTTTTTTTTTTTAAGATTTTATTTATTTATTTGTCAGAGAGAGAGAGGGAGAGAGAGCAAGCACAGGCAGACAGAATGGCAGGCAGAGGGAGAAGCAGGCTCCCTGAGGAGCGAGGAGCCCGATGCGGGACTCGATCCCAGGACGCTGGGATCATGACCTGAGCCGAAGGCAGCTGCTTAACCAACTGAGCCACCCAGGCGTCCCAAGAATCTACATTCTTAATGATCACATTCTAATGGCTCCTGAGTTAAGTATCCCCCCCACACACACACAACAGTTTTTCAATCTGAGTCAAGAAACTTGGACTCTGGTGCTAGTTCTGTCTTTAATGGCACAGTCGTTGAGTGTCTGCCTTCCACTAGACAGTTCAAGTAAGGGACCTCATCTGGAACTAGTCTGTATCTGACACATGTGTTGTGCTTTTTAACCTTAAGTGCTACAGACTTTCTATGAATTGAGGAAAAAAAGCCCAGTCGCTAATTATATATAAAGTATTTATTTTTATGCACATATTTACCTACAAAATTTACAGACAATCAAACTGTGCCGAATACATAAGAGTACCCTCTGATGACTTCGTAGGAGCAGAGAGGGTCTTATTGCTGCAGTTTTAAGAATAAAATCTCAAACACGTCAAAGCCAAGATGGACAGTTAAGTTAAATGGTAGCCTTGTTAAAAAGTTTTTGTCCTGTGAGTGAATTTTCAGCTTCATGTTAAATGGAATTTAAAAGACTGCTCATGAAATAATTTAAACCTTTTCAAAATCATCTAATAAACAGGTAAAAGGCACCTCCAGTTCTTTAAAATATTTACAGCAATCCCAATAGTTTAAGATTAGGGCAATTATAGTACAGGTGGCTAAAATGCATACACAGTATGTCATTAACACTCTCTGAACAGTGAGAATTGTAGACTCTAGTTTGGGGCGCCGCTCCCAAGTCACCCCGTGATGGAGCAGCTGATCAATTACACCCGTGCAACACTAGTGTAACAGCACGCCAACCGCGGCGTTAAGATCCAATGATCTAAAACAAGGACTATCAAATTCCCAGACAGTACATAATTTATAACTAAACTTGTATATTCAGAAGCCTTTGGAGTGTTCTTAAAATTATTAAAAAAAAATATAAAGTATATTTAGCATTGAAGGAAAACAACAAACTGGAAACGGTTACCATGAGAGTGGTTGAAGTTCACTATCTGGTTTAACAAAAATGTTTTCTCAGAAGAACATCTATAATTTCTCACAACATAATGGAGATGAGTCTTTCTCAATTTACACTCGATCCGATGTTTTTCTTGCATTATGATTAGAACAGAGGGGTGTAAGAATGAAAGGCACAGCTATGCGCGATAGCTGGGTGTGAAGAGCCATGGGGCCGGCCAACGGATGCTCCCACGATACTGGTGCAGGAGAACAAAGTCCACGGAAGGCTTCCCTCTTTGACATTGGCATTGATTTGCTATTTACAGTAGTTTGCAAAAATACATTATAAAAACTGGATGAGGTTCTGTTTCTAAGTTTAACTTAGTAACATATAGACATACTTCATCTGCAGAAGTCTCTGCAGGGTCTGAAGTACTAAAGTGACACTAATACTGTAACACAGATAATCAAAGGTACCAAGCACGGGGGAGGCGAGTCATCATCATCGAGATCATCTGGGTAAATATTGCACACTTCTTGTCAGTTGTTGCTATGATCTTCACATATCCAACTGTAAAAGGAATCCCTTATGGCTTTTTGCTGTATCACTCATTTGAAGAAAGGCTGTTTTAGGTCCCATAACAATGAGTGCAGATTGTCACTGAACATGAGGCCTAGGTTTCAAAATGAGTTTTCCTGTCTGTAAAAATGAAAGAAAAGTTTTTCAATACACAGTTCCACTAAAAACATCACCATTTATCCATAAGCCTTGAAGTACATTTGAAGGGTACCAGAACATCCTTTATATGAAGTTTAAATATTTTTTTAAAGATTTTATTTATTTGACAGAGAGAGATCACAAGTAGGTAGAGAGGCAGGCAGAGAGAGAAAGAGAGAAAGGAGGAAGCAGGCTCCCCGCCAAGCAGAGAGCCCGATTCAGGACTTGATCCCAGGACCCAGAGATCATGACCCGAGCCAAAGGCAGAGGCTTTAACCCACTGAACCCACTTTAACCCAGGTGCCCCAATATGTGAAGTAAATATTAAGCAATGACCAGTTATGTTTTCCAAGTTTTGTGTGGAGTTTTCTTCCTAAAATCTTCATTATTAAGATTTTATTTATATATTTGACAGAGAGAGAGAGAAAGAGCACAAGCAGGAGGAGTGGCAGGCAGAGGGAGAAGTACCTGTGGACCAGGGAGCCCCATGCAGAACTCGACCCCTGGACCCAGGATCATGACATGACCTGCGGCCAGAGGCAGATGCTTAACGAACCCAGGCACCCCTAAAATCTTCATTACTTTAAAACAACCCATTTGGAGTGCCTGGGTGCCTCAGTCATTAAGCGTCTGCCTTTGGCTCAGGTCATAATGCCAGGGTCCTGGGATTAAGCCCTGCATTGGGCTCGCTGCTCAGCGGGAAGCCTGCTTCTCCCTCTCCCACTCCCCTTCCTTTGTGTTCCCTCTCTAGCTGTGTCTCGCTCTCTGTCAAATAAACAAATAAATGAATCTTATAAATAAATACATAAATAAACAAAACAATCTATTTGATGAACTCCCTGTCCACTGGCTACCTAAAAATCTGCCAATCAATCCCATAAATAAAATCCCAACATGTATAAATTCATGCTCCTTGTCAAATGAAATTTACAAAACATAAGTATATGTATCTGAGCAAAAACATTTTTCCTTCACTAACAAATTTTTACTTTCAGGTGAAAATGTAAACCAATGATTAAGCACTAGACACACACTGCTGATGTTCAGTGTAAGTGGATGAAACTCTTCTGTAAGGTCAACTGCCCCCCTGCCCGGCTTTTTCTCTTAACCGAGCTCTAGGGGTGGCTCTGTCGGTTAGGTGTCTGCCTCTGGCTCAGGTCATGACCCCAGGAGTCTGGGACCAAGTCCCACACCGGGCTCCCTGCTCAGCAGGAAGCCTGCTTCTCTCTCTGCCTACTACTCGCCCTACTTGTCCTCTGACAAATAAATAAAATCTTTTTAAAAACTGAAGAAACATGGGGCACCTGGGTGGCTCAGTGGGTTAAGCCACTGCCTTCGGCTTGGGTCATGATCTCAGGATCCTGGGATCGAGCCCCATATCGGGCTCTCTGCTCAGCGGGGAGCCTGCATCCCCCTCTCTCTCTGCTTGCCTCTCTGCCTACTTGTGATCTCTCTCTCTCTCTCTCCCTGTCAAATAAATAAGTAAATAAATCTTAAAAAAAAAAATAAAAAAATAAAAAAAAACCTGAAGAAACAAATAAATAAATATAGTTCTAGGGGCACTTGGGTGGCTCAGTTGGTTAAGGGTCTGCCTTTGGCTTGGGTCATGATCCTGGGATTGAGCTCTTCTCCCTCTCCCTGCCACTCCCCCTGCCAGTATTCATTCTCTGTCAAATAAATAAATAAATAAACCTTTAAAAATAAAGTAAGCTCTACGCCCAACATGGGGCTTGAACTCACGTTCCCAAGATCAAGAGTTAAATGCTCCACTGACTGGGCCAGCCAGGTGCCCTGGCCCAACTGTGTTATTTACCTAAAGAAAAGGTACATGCCATATAGTTCAAAAAACTCCACTTCTGGGAGTTTACCTAAAGGACACAAGCACAAAGCTGTACATAAAGATGTTACTAATTTGGGCACCTAGGCGACTCAGCTGGTTAAGCGACGGACTCTTGGTTTAAGGTCATGTCATGATCTCATGGGTTGTGAGATAAAACCCTGCATTGGGTTCTGAGCTCAGCAATGAGTCTGCTTGAAGAATCTCTCCCTCTGCCTCTATCCCACTTGTGCTTTCTTGTGCATACTCTAAAATAAATCTTTAAAAAAATGTTACTAATTCTTTCATTCAACATTTACTGAGTGTCTGCTGTGGGCCAGGCCTTGTGGGAGATACGAGGGATCCAAGAATGAACTAGACACACTCCCTCATCCTCCTGCAGCTTAAGTTCTGGCAGAGAATATACAACATACGCAGTATGGAAACTGCAAACAACTGTATGACCAACAGGGCATTATATCATGAGGTATCCATAAAAGAGGGCAGTGTGTAATTAAACAAAATGGAAGACCCTCCCGCTTTTCAAAACAAAAGAGAACAAAACAAAACAAAACAAGGCTCCATGCCCAGCATGAAGCTCATCATGAGGCCTGAATTCATGAACCTGAGATCAAGACCTGGGCTGAAATCAAGAGCTGGACACCAAACTGACTAAGCCACCCAGATGCCCCAAAACAGAAGACCTTAACTGGTATAGTGTAGATAAAAAGCCCAAGACTTTGCACATGGTTCATGTCCAATAAATGGTGGCTCTTAAAGCCTAATACTGGATCAAAGAAGCAGGTCTGAAAACTCCCGTAATACCTAAGAAGCAAATGAGAATGGGCAACGCAACACAAAACATCTTTGGTTGGTGAGACTCTAGGTGGTTTCATTAATATTTTGTTACTGTGATTCTTGGGTTAAAAGTGCTATCAAGATTCTGATCACAAGATTCTCACTTTAACTTCATTTTTAGCCGTTTAACTTTTGGTAATTCCCTAGTAATGTTGGTAGAACTTTGATGCTAATTTTTTCAGTTTTATTGAGGTATAACTTACATACAGTGTATAACTTATATACTGCCTGGGCGGCTCAGCCAGTCAAGTGTCCAACTCTTGATTTTGGCTTAGGTCATGATCTGAGGGTCATGAGAATGAGCCCGCATCAGGCTCAGTGCAGAATCTACTTGAGATTCTCTCACTCTGCCTCTCCCCCTGCGTGTGTGCTAAGTAAAAATCTTCACACACACACACACATATGCCCACAGAGCCATCACCCCGTTCACGCTACAGAGTATCACCGCCACCCAGAAAGTTCTTCCACATCCCTTTTTGGTCAATGGGAGCCCCACTCCTGAAATAGACGTAACTACTTCCCATAAATTTTGCCCACCTCTGGTCTTTAAACACATACAATCAGAGATTATGTGCTCTTTCGCATCTACTTCTTTCACTCACTGTGCTTCTGCGATTCATCCATGTTATTATGTTCCAGCAGTGTATACTGTTTTATATTGTTATTACGATACACAATACACAGTATTCCACTGTGTAAACAAACCACTATTTGTTTTACCCAAGTTTTTTTTTTTTCTTTAAAGATTTTATTAATTTGACAGAGAGAGATCACAAGTAGGCAGAGCAGCAGGCAGAGAGGGGGAAGCAGGCTCCCTGTTGAGCAGAGAGCCCGAAGCGGGGCTCGATCCCAGGACCCGGGATCATGACCTGAGCCAAAGGCAGAGGCTTATCTCACTGAGCCACCCAGGCGCTCCCCAAGGTCTTAATCTATTTTAAATTACATGGAAAGACATTAATGTAATTTATTAAAAAATCAAATACATAAAACCTGGATGACTCAGTCAGTGAAGCAGGACTCTTGACCTTGGGGGTGTGACTTTATTTATTTATTTATTTATTTTTAAAAAGATTATTTATTTGACAGACAGAGATCACAAGTAGGCAGAGAGGCAGGCAGAGAGAGGGGGAAGCAGGCTCCCCATTGAGCAGAGAGCCCGATGCGAGGCTCGATCCCATGACCCTGGAATCATGACCTGAGCCGAAGGCAGAGGCTTTAACCCACTGAGCCACCCAGCTGCCCCATGGGGATGTGACTTTAAACTCCATGTTGGGTATAGGATTACTTAAAAAATAAGCAAACAATTTAAAATGTTTTCAAATATACATAAGCTGAAATTCTTCCTTCCATTTATCTCAAATTCTAGCCCTCTTAGAGAAGAAACCAGTTTTAGCATGAACTCTTCCAGACTGGGTTCTATGATTTACATCCACATATATAAATAATAAAAATCTGATGTTTCTGAGCCATCTGGCTCAATCAGTTAAGCATCCAACTCTTGGGTTTCAGCTTGGGTCATAAATTCAGGGTCATGAGATCAAGCCCCTGTGTCAGGCTCTGTGCTCAGCAGGAAGTCTGCTTGAGATTCTCTCTCTCCCTCAACCCCTCCTCCTTTCTCCCTAAAATAAAATAAATCTTTTTTTTTTTTTTTTTAAGATTTCATTTATTTATTTGAGAGAGAGACAGTGAGAGAGAGCATGAGCGAGGAGGTCAGAGGGAGAAGCAGACACCCCATGGAGCTGGGAGCCCGATGTGGGACTCGATCCCGGGACCCCGGGATCATGACCTGAGCCGAAGGCAGTCGTCCAACCGAGCCACCCAGGCGTCCCCCTTTTTTTTTTTTTTTTAAAGATTTTATTTATGGGGTGCCTGGGTGGCTCAGTGGGTTAAGCCTCCGCCTTCGGTTCAGGTCATGGTCTCAGGGTCCTGGGATCAAACCCCGCACTGGGCCCCATAAATAAATCAAACTTAAAAAATCTGGTGTTTCTAACTTGCTAAAATATTTGAAGGTAAAAAATACGACTTGGGATTTGTTTCAAAATAATCTGATGGAGGAAGGTGGGCAGGGGTACACATGAAATAAGAATGGCCATGAGCTAATTATTGTTGACACTGACCAGTGGGGACACAGTTCATTATACTCTCCATTTTTTTGTCTGGAAATTTTCTAATTAAAACTTTCTTACAGGGGGCACCTGGGTGGCTTAGTGGGTTAAAGCCTCTGCCTTGGCTCAGGTCATGATCCCAGGGTCCTGGGATCGAGCCCCACATGGGGCTCTCTGCTCAGCAGGGAGCCTACTTCCCCACCCCTGCCTGCCTCTCTGCCTACTTGTGATTTCTGTCTGTCAAATAAATAAATAAATAAAATCTTAAAAAAAAACAAAACCTTTCTTACAGATGAAGATGTGATACACACACACAAACCGCGTGCACACTGGAGTATTATTCAGCCACAAAAAAGAATGAAATCTTGCTATTTGCACTACATAGATGGAGCTCAAGAGTATAATGCTAAGTGAAACAGAGAAAGACAAATACTGTGTAATTTCACTCATATGTGCAATTTAAGAAAAAACAAAAACAAGCAAAGAAAAAAAGACAAATCAAGAAAAAGACTCTTTTTTTTTTTTTTAAAGATTTTATTTATTTGTCAGAAAGAGAGGGAGAGAGAGCGAGCACAGGCAGACAGAATGGCAGGCAGAGGCAGAGGGAGAAGCAGGCTCCCTGCCGAGCAAGGAGCCCGATGCGGGACTCGATCCCAGGACACTGGGATCATGACCTGAGCCGAAGGCAGCTGCTTAACCAACTGAGCCACCCAGGCGTCCCAAGAAAAAGACTCTTAATTACAGAGAACAAACTGATGGTTACAGGAGGGGAAGTGGGTGGGGGGATGGGGGAAATAGATGATGGGGATTAAGGGGTGCACTTGTCATAACGAGCACACGGTGATGTACAGAAGTGCTGAAATCACTCTATGGTACACCTGAAACTAATATAACACTGTATATTAACTATACTGGAATTAAAAAGAAAATGGTACTAGGGGGAAAAAAACTAAAACAACAACAACAACAAAAAAGAAGATACCAAACTGAGTATACCATCCAGTAATTTACTTCTTGCACTTCACATTATGCCCTGCAGAGCCTTCCATGGCCATACTGACAGATTTACTTACGGTTTCCTACAATGTGGCTACACCTCAGTCTATTTTACCATGCCCTTGTTGGGAAATGTAAAGCTGGTTTCCATTTTTTCCCTACTGCAAAGCATGTTGCAATAATGACCTTGTACCTGCCTCCTCGTGTGCATGTGACTGATGGTCCCCACCAAGGGTAGATGGAGAGAAGTAGAATGGTTAGGTCATGAGACATGCCAATTTTACATTTTACAGGAATGATGAAAACTGCCCTCTAACATGGCTATCCCACTGTATATTCTCAACAAGCAGTGCATGGGTTCATCTACTTTACCACAGTACTGGACTTTCAATTTCTACCAATGTAAAGGTAGGTAAGACAAATGAAAACTCAGTTTTAGGGGCACCTGGGTGGCTCAGTCGGTTAAGCATCTGCCTTGGGCTCAAGTAATAATTCAGGGTCCTGGGATCAAGCCCTGTGATGGGTTCCCTGCTCAGTGGGGAGTCTGCTTCTCCCTTTCCTTCTGCTTCCCCCCAAGACCCTCCACTCATGTTCGCTCTCTCTCTCTTAAAAAGAAAAAAAGAAAAGAAAAAGAAAAAGATAACTCAGTTTTACTGTCCACTTCCCCAATTACAAATGAGGCTATCTGTAGTCCCACTTCTGTGAGATGACTTACCTCTTTCCACATTTCAAATGTACTATTTATCTTTTTTTATTGATTTTTTTATTTTATATTCTATCCTCTATTAGATATCTTGCCAATACTTTCTTTTTATATGTTTTTTTTTTTTCAGTAATCTCTACACCCAACGTGGGGCTCAAACTCACAACCCTGAGATGAAGAGTCACATGCTCACTGACTAAGCCAGCTAGGCACCCCACAAACAATTTCTTCTAATCACTGCTCATTTTCTTGCCTTTTGCTGTACGATATTTTCAAATGTTGGTGCAATTAAAGGTATCCAACCTCTTCCATGATGGTTTTTTGTTCTGAGTCTTAAAAAGTTTTTCTACACCAAGATCATAAACATATTCATCTCTGGAGCACCTGGGTGGCACAGTGGGTTAAACATCCAACTCCTGGTTTCAAGTCAGGTCATGATCTCGAGCTCCATGTTGGGCTCCATACCGAGCAGAGAGTCTGCTTGGGTTTCTCTCTTCCTCTACCCTTCCCCCAACTCATGTGTGTGTGCATGTTGTATTACTTATTATACTAATAAATCTTAAAAAACAAAAACCATTCATATGTACTTTCTTCTAATGCTTATGAGATAGGTATGTCTTTTTAAATATATTTAAGACTTTATCTGGAATTTAATCTTTTTAATTGATGTGAAAAAGAGATCTAAATTCCTTTCTTTCTCCTTTTTTTTTTTTTTAAGATTTTTTATTTATTTATTTGACAGACAGAGATTACAAGTAGGCAGAGAGGCAGGCAGAGAGAGGGGGGAAGCAGGCTCCCCGCTGAGCAGAGATCCCCATGTGGGGCTCGATCCCAGGACTCTGAGACCATGACCCGAGCCGAAGGCAGAGGCTTTAACCCACTGAGCCACCCAGGCGCCTCTCATTTCTTTCTCAAATGAAAAGCCAATTACCTCAACACTATTAGCCCATTTCTCCCCTTTTGACTTGAAATACTATACTTATCCTCTAATTTAAAAAAAAAAATCAAACTGTTTAGTCTTTATTCTCTTCATTGATCTAGTGGCTTTCCTGGCTTAGTATCTTTTTTTCCCTCTTTATTCTTATTTTCTATACTGGATAAGTATTATTTGATAGTTTTTTTAACTTGAAGGTAAAAATACCTTTATAAATAAAATAAGTGAATCAAACCTGTGAGATACTCTAGTATATCAATACATGATTAACTTTTAAAAACAGTCGGTTTGGGGGGCCTGGGTGGCTCAGTGGTTTAGTGTCTACTTTCGACTCAGGTCATGATCCCAGGGTCCTGAGATCAAGCCCCGCATCCGGCTCCCTGCTTGGTGGGAGGCCTGCTTCTCCCTCTCTCACTGCCCTTGCTGTGTTCCCACTCTCACTGTCTCTCTGCCAAATAAATAAATAAATAAAATCTTAAAAACAAAACAAAACAAACAAACAAAACCAGTCGGTTTGTTAAATTTGTATTCTGTCAATTAATTTGAGATCTAATTTAAAATCCTATATACAGGGCGCCTGGGTGGCTCAGACAGTTAAGCACCTGACTTCAGCTTAGGTCATGACCCTGGGGTCCTGGGATTGAGTCCTGCATCGGGCTCCCGACATTCTGCTTCTCCCTTTGCCCCTCCTCCACTGCTTGTATTCCCCCCTTCTCAAAAACAAATAAATAAAATCTTATTTTTTAAAATCCTATATACAGAATATCGTTAGGTAACAGTTTACAAATCCAACACCCAACAATCCATTTTTGGCCAATAATGACAACTGTGTATTGAATTTAAGACAGCTTCAATCATAAGACATCATGATTTTATGTCATTAAGATTAAACTCGGGGGAGGGGTGCCTGGATGGCTCAGTCAGTTAACCATCTGCCCTGGGCTCAGGTTGTGATCCCACGATCCTGGGATGGAGCCCCACAACAGGCTCCCCGCTCAGGCGGGAGCCTGCTTCCCCCCTCCATCTGTTCCTCCTGCCTGCTTGTGCTCTCTAAAATAAATTAAAAAAAAAAAAAAAAAAGAAAAGAAAAAAGAAAAGAAAGATTAAACTGGGAGTACCTGGCTGGCTCAGTGGTACAGCATGTGACTCTAGATCTCAGGGTCATGAGTTCAAGCCCCATACTTGGCATACAGCTTACGTGTTTAAAAAAAAAAAAAAAAAAGGGTACTGTCAACTCTACCAGTTGACCTGTATGATACTACAGATCATTAGATGCATCTCAATTTCTGAGATGTATATATGGGTCTTAGGATCAATACTATAAGGAGTATCTCCACTATTAATCCATGCAGACAATTTTTTTAAAGATTTTATTTATTTATTTGAGAAAGAATGAGCACAAGCAGGGTGAATGGGCCCAAGGGAGAAGCATACTCCCTGCTGAGCAGGAAGCCTGATGTAGTACTTGGGGATCCCTAGGCTCTGGGATCATGACCTGAGCCGAAGGCAGACGCTTAACCGACTGAGCCACCCAGGTGCCCCATGCAGACAATTTATTAATGTCTGCTTTATTTAAGCCAAAACATTTCAGTCCTTTCATGCACATCTACAATTTTCTAACGTAAACAATACTCACATCATCACAAGACATATTGTATTCTGCTAATACAGTTCGACATCGAGCAGCTATGCTGAAAAAATGTGGTCAAAGGAAAATTTATCTTATGAAGAATAAGCTTTTAAAACAACACCTAGATGGATCAAAAAGGTGCTTTAATTTCATTCAGAGAATAAAAGTCAATTTTGGTAAAGGATACATTGATGGTGCAACGACCCTCTTGTGTATTCCGGCAAAGAACAAGCCTATTAGAGTAATACAGCTAATAGTGAAAAATGGGTGATTCCATAAAGATGTGAAGAAGGACACCTGGAAAAGAAGAGTTTGAAATATAAAAATGTTCAGGATCTCAGAACAATACTAATTTTTACCTCCCCACTTATGCATAAATATATGTAGGATTTTAATCATCTGAAATATGAGGATTTGAAGAATTTAAAATAATCCTAGTTCTGTTTTGCTGTGCCATGCAAATAAAACCAGTTATCTATTTTGTATCTTTAACGTAGCAAGATAATATAGCAATATTCCCTCCATCAATTTCAAAGACTTTAACCACTAAAAATTCATTCTTATAATCAAAAAACATTCTACCAAAATGTTTACTAAACTCTCTCTGGTAAAAAAACAATTTAAAAAGCAGATGACGAGAGACATCTGACTGGCTCAGCTAGTAGAGCATGTCTCTTGACCTCAGTAGTCATGAGCTCGAGCCCCATGTTGGACATAGAGATTACATACACACAGACACACACACATATATAAAAGCACAAGACGGGGAGCCTGGGTGGCTCAGTGGATTAAGCCGCTGCCTTCGGCTCAGGTCATGATCTCAGTGTCCTGGGATCGAGCCCCGCATCAGGCTCTTTGCTCAGCGGGGAGCCTGCTTCTCTCTCTCTCCCTCTGCCTGACTCTCTGCCTACTTGTGATCTCTCTCTCTGTCAAATAAATAAATAAAAAATCTTTAAAAAAAAAAAATAAAAAAATAAAAGCACAAGACTGTAAGCGCCACAGGAGTAGACGTGGTCTTGTGCATCTCTGTTCTTCCAGTATGTGAAACAGTGCTTGGCAAACGTACATGCTCAATTAATACTGCTAAACGAGTGAAGATAAGGTCTCTGGTCTGAAGTCAATGAAAATACAAGTCAGCAGTGATATAGTTACTCTCCCCATTGAAAAGCTTCCTTTCAGAACTGGGGCAGCCTCTATCATGCATAACCTGGTCCCAGTCCAACCATTTCCTGCTGTACCCACATACATGCTACCGTACTTCTCCTCTCCTACATGGCCCCAGAAGATTCAGCTCCAGTATAATCCTCCCCTCTCTGTGGAAGCAAAAAGTGAGTTTGGTTTTAAAGCTACTGAGACTTATTTATTTTTTATTTTTTATTTTTTTTAAGATTTTTTTTTTTTTTTATTTGACAGAGAGAGATCACAAGCAGTCAGAGAGGCAGGCAGAGAGAGAGGAGGAAGCAGGCTCCCTGCTGAGCAGAGAGCCCGATGCGGGGCTCAATTCCAGGACCCTGAGACCACGACCCGAGCCGAAGGCAGTGGCTTAACCCACTGAGCCACCCAGGCGCCCCGAGACTTATTTATTTTTAAAGATTTTATTTATTTAGGGGCGCCTGGGTAGCTCAGTGGGTTAAAGCCTCTACCTTCAGCTCAGGTCGTGATCCCAGGGTCCTGGGATCGAGCCCCGCATTGGGCTCTCTGCTCAGCGGGGAGCCTGCCTCCCCCTCTCTCTCTTCCTGCCTCTCTGCCTACTTGTGATCCCTGTCTGTCAAATAAAATAAAATTTTTAAAGATTTTTTTTTTAAAGATTTTAAAATCTTTAAAGATTTTTTAAAAAGATTTTAAAACCTTTAAAGGTTTTCTTCCTTAAAGATTTTATTTATTTATTTGACAGAGAGAGATCACAAGTAGGCAGAGAGGCAGGAAGAGAGAGAGGGGGAGGCAGGCTCCCCGCTGAGCAGAGAGCCCGATGCGGGGCAGGCTCCCACTGAGCAGGGCGCCTGACTTGGGGTGCAATCCCAGGACGCTGGGATCATGATCTGAGTTGAAGGCAGACGCCTAACTGACTGGGCTACCCAGGCAACCCTGAAGCTACTGAGATTTAAATGGACAGAGGACACTCAAGCAGGGAAAGATGATTAGTAGCTACCTATAAAGAAGGTAGGTTTAGGGGCACCTGGCTGGGTCAGTCAGAAGAGCATGTGACTCCTGATCTTGGGGTTGTGAGTCTGAGCCCCATATGGGGTACAGAGATTACTTAGATAAAACTTAAAAAGGGGGGGGGCAGCGCCTGGGTGGCACAGTCAGCTGAGCGTACATCTCTTAGTTTTTGCTCAGGTTGTATTTTCAGGGTTGTGAGATCAAGCCTTGTGTTGCCCTCAGTTGGGAATGTGCTTAAGATTTTCTCTCTCTCTCTCTCTGCCCTTCTCCCCCACCACCTGTCGTGCTCACTTTCCCTCTCTCTCAAATTAAAAAAAAAAAAAAAAAAGAAAAAAAAGAAAAGAATGAGCATTTAAGAGAAACAAAGAGCTAATTTCAGATCTGGGCATAAGAGAGGACAGCAGGAAATAAGACAACGGGAGTATGTAAGACAAGAGTCTAGGATCCAGGACTGAAACGAGTGGGCACTGAAGCCAGACTACTGGGGGATAGCACTATAGTTTGAAAGAGGAAAAAAGATGTGTTTAGAGTCTGGAAAAAGAAATCCAATGGACCAGGAACTAAATGGGAGCAACAGAACTAAGCCAAAGGCATCTATACTCCACTCTTATAACAAGAGATGCATACATATTTCAAGACCAAGAACTAAACTTACAAAAAAGACCAGGTAGCTGGCCTAGTACGCTACTGGTTAAATAAATTTGTCAAAAGAAGAAATGAGAGACTGACAACATCAGAAGAGAAGAAGCTCCCAGAAGGATGAAATTCTGAAAAGGTTAATAATCCAGAGGAATGTCTTCTTAAAACCTTCAAGGACAGCTTAATTCCCACAGGCCAGCTAGATTTCACATGGCCTGCACAATGTAAGCACATGTAGTGTCTTATATGTCAATTTTAACTAGATCAGTCGACATCGCCCTTCTTTCCTCCACAGCAATGATCAACTGCATCAAAATACCGGTTCCCCCTTTAGATCGGGCATTCATGTACTTTCTAGCTTGCTCTATTCCTTCTCTCCTTGGATTCTTCCAGATAATCACGCACTGGCTTTTGAGTCTGCAACTCCTGCTAGAGACAATTGCTGTTTAAAACTCCTATCAGCTTTGAGGTTATTAAATACTGAAATCTAAAGAGCTAACCCTTAGGCTAATAGTTATATTCTCACCTAATTTAGAAAATTACATTAACTACAGAGTTTTGGGTCTACTTCAAATTACATTTCATTCTGTGTTTTATTAAGATCTCAACTAGCTGAAATCAGCTTATATTTTTCCCAATTAGAAGTCAGATTCATTTCCCAAGATAGACCTTTTCAATCTTCTTGCCAGCCTCCTCACTCTTCCCCTGAAGATGAACACCAAGCAGAGCCTTAAGAGCAGACTTTTATAAATGAACACACAAGAGAGTTTCCTATCTGTCATAAAAACCCCTCTATTAATGTAAAATTCCATCACCAGTCTCCCCTACCTCCTATTCTTTTATATCTCCACCCCAATGGATAAAGGCAGGGAGACTACACGCTAAATAACCCCCTGGCTGCCCGAACGGCCATCTGGACTGCTGACAAAAGCTTTGCCATTAGGTTTTCCTTCTGTATAAACCAACAGGTAATAAATAAAGCTACTGGGAGCAGTCTACCTAATTACAGTTTAAAAAGGGATGTGGGCTTGAAATTTGAGAAAAATTAGAACACCACTATTACCTAAATAAAGCTGCACTGAGGCAAAAAAAAAAAAAACTTCACTGAAATACTGGAGACTACTGCTTCTCTAATAAAAAAAAAAAACTCAGTTTGAAATTAAGGCACAAGTTAGTAGAAAGAAGTAGAATTTTGAGAAACATTCTATCAGGTTTGATCAAAAGGATGCTTCCAGAAATAACATTATGAAATCTTTTATTGCATTTGGTATAGGGATGTTCTTGTACAGAGCCCAATGGGAGTTCTCTCAGGGTTTCCTATATTAAATTTCAGGCAGGAAATTTTTTTAAAGATAAATGCGGAGAACAAAATCTTTGCTAGCTTACGGAACTCATACATGTGTTCTTTTCACAGAGAAGGAAAACCATGGAACCAACTGTGACTTTATGGATTAGGTAACTCAGAGACTAATTTACAACTCAGTTCTGGCAAGTGTGGTGGCCCATATGACCTTGTCTGTGACCTGGTTTCCCTCCTTTGACCCTCTAGTCTAATCTTTTTTTTCCCCCTCGATCTTGATGTTTTTTTTTTTTTAAGTTTTTTTTTTTTTTTTTTTAAGATTTTATTTATTTATTTGACAGAGAGAGATCACAAGTAGACGGAGAGGCAGGCAGAGAGAGAGAGAGAGAGAGAGAGGGAAGCAGGCTCCCCGCCGAGCAGAGAGCCCGATGCGGGACTCAATCCCAGGACCCTGAGATCATGACCCGAGCCAAAGGCAGTGGCCCAACCCACTGAGCCACCCAGGCGCCCCGATCTTAATGTTTTATTACATTAAAATTTTGCTGTTTTATCATGTTTCCTGCAAAGACATTTCAAATGCTTTGTGGGATGATGAAAGGTACTACCAAATTTAAGTCACAGAAGAAAATGAAATTTTATACTTTTTAATTTTTTTTTTTTAAAGATTTTATTTATTTACCCGACAGAGATCACGAGTAGGCAGAGAGGCAGGCAGAGAGAGAGAGAGGAGGAAGCAGGCTCCCCACTAAGCAGAGAGCCCGATGTGGGGCTCGATCCCAGGACCCTGGGATTCTGACCTGAGCCGAAGGCAGAGGCCTTAACCCACTGAGCCACCCAGGTGCCCCAATTTTATACTTTTTAAAAGCTGGCACAGATGATATTAAATGAACAAAAGAGAAGACAATTTTTATACTGAAATATGTACAAACTGTGAATATGAAATGTAAAAAGATATGTAAGAAGTTCAGAAATGAGTAAGAAGTAGTGTAAGTGGGGTATTTCTTAGGTCTTTTTTCCTGTAAAAGATACTTAATCTACAACACACAACCGAAGTTTTTCTTAACCAAATTAATGTAAGGCATATATTTAATATAATGATTAATGTCACTACTAGTAATAATAGGTAGCATTTGGGTAATACTTTACAATGAACAAAGCACTGCTACATTATCTCATTTAATCCAGTAAAGATTTTAAATCAAAACTTCTACCTTTTGTGTCTCGGGATCTATTAACCAGTTCCAGGCACCAGTAGCTGTGCAGACAGATACCACTATAAGAAGCACTGATGAAAGATAAACACGAAATTAGTAAGGAAATAAGCTGTTAATACATTTATACTAATACCACCAGTTCCTAATCAATGAGAGCCAAAGGATGCAGCACTTTATTAAATAGAAAATACATTTGACTGAGGAATTAGGAAACTTGCTGTATGACTCTGAGGAATTCTCTTACATACTATGAACCTTAGTAATTGAGGATGATATTGTTCCCATTATTACTTTAGGCAGAACTTACCAAGATCAACAAATTAAAAGCAGTAGGAACTTTTGACATGCTTTGTGCTGATTTTGCAGATCCTACAAATTCAAATTAAAAAAACAAAAACACCTCTCATTTTCTACGTAAACAAACCAAACAATGACTCCTTTATGAATGCACTGAGAATCCTGGCTAGAGGATTCTGCCTTTAAACAACGGCTGCTGAAACGGCTGCTATCAAGAATGTGGAGCTCAGGGCGCCTGGGTGGCTCAGTGGGTTAAGCCGCTGCCTTCGGCTCAGGTCATGATCTCAGGGTCCTGGGATCGAGTCCCACATCGGGCTCTGCTCAGCGGGGAGCCTGCTTCCCTCTCTCTCTCTCTGCCTGCCTCTTTGTCTGCTTGTGATCTCTCTCTGTCAAATAAATAAATAAAAATCTTAAAAAAAAAAAATTAAAAAAAAAAAAAAAAGAATGTGGAGCTCACTGATTAGTGTCAGGTTTTCTTCAGAGACTTAAAGGAAGTTCAGGGTAGAAATTACTGATGGTAGAACTCAGAAAACCTTCTCCTCACTAAGTTAGAATTACTTTAGGAATTCTAAATAGATCCTAAACAAAACTCAAGAATGAATGATACAGGGACGCCTGGGTGGCTCAGTTGGTTGGGCAGCTGCCTTCAGCTCAGGTCATGATCCTAGCGTCCTGGGATCGAGTCCCACATCGGGCTCCTTGCTCGGCGGGGAGCCTGCTTCTCCCTCTGCTCTGCCTGCCTTTTTGTCTGCCTGTGCTCGCTCTCTCTCCCTCTCTGACAAATAAATAAAATCTTAAAAAAAAAAAAGAATGAATGATACAGAGGTGCCTGGGTAGCTTCACTGGTTGAATCTGTGACTCTTGATCTCAGGGCTGTAAGTTCGAGCCCCAAGGTAGATGTAGAGATTACTTAAAAATAAAATCTTAGGGATGCCTGGGTGGCTTAGTCGGTTAAGCAGCTGCCTTTGGCTCAGGTCATGATCCCAAGGTCCTGGGATCGAGTCCCAATTCTGGCTCCTTGTTTAGTGGGGAGCCTTCTTCTCCCTCTGCCTGCAGCTTCCCCTGCTTGTGCGTTCTCTCTCTCTGACAAATAAATAAATAAAATCTTCTAAAAAATGTTTAAAAAAATAAATAAAATCTTAAAGAAAAAAAGGAATTAAAAAAAAAAGGAATAAATGGTACTACTAGAAAATAATAAAGGGGCACCATGACCTAGTTAATATTCTGGATATCAAGGTACTGTCCTTCAGTTAGGACACATACAGTTTTAAAATATAAAGACCAAGATTCAAAGAGCAAGGGGCGCCTGGGTGGCTCAGTGGGTTAAGGCCTCTGCCTTCGGCTCAGGTCATGATCTCAGGGTCCTGTGATCGAGTCCCGCATCAGGCTCTCTGCTCAGCAGGGAGCCTGTTTCCCCCTCTCTCTCTGCCTGCCTCTCTGCGTCCTTGTGATCTCTCTCTCTCTCTCTGTCAAATAGATAAAATCACTTAAAAAAAAAAAAAGATTCAAAGAGCAATAGAAAAATAAAACTTTACCTAGAATTCCTGGTGATTTACTTTTAGAAGTGGCAAATCACAGGAAAACAATCTCATTTTAGGTATTTAAGAACAGAATCAAAATTTCAGAATTACATTTTCAGAGCAGATTAAAAATTTCTTATAATAAAAAAAAATTTCTTATAATGCTGTATTTCTAGTAAGAAATATGTCATACTACACAGATTTTTCTTTTGAAAAATGAAGCAGGGGTGCCTGGGTGGCTCAGTGGGTTAAAGCCTCTGACTTCGGCTCGGGTCATGATCCCAGGGTCCTGGGATCGAGCCCCACGTAGGGCTCTCTGCTCAGCAGGGAGCCTGCTTCCCCCCCACCTTCTCTGCCTGCCTCTCTGCCTACTTGTACTTGTGATTTGTCTCTCTGTCAAATAAATAAAGAAAAGAAAAGAAAAGAAAAAAGAAAAATGAAGCAAAAGCAAAATCAAACCAACTGGCAGGGACTCAAACACATACTTTTCGCTGGTACATTAACCAAGCTGATGTCATTTGTTTGTAAGCACTGAGACCATGAATCACAGAAAAGTAAAGTATATTCACTATATTATAAGATACCACAGCATCATATACATTTTAAAAGATTTTCAAGTAGCAGTGAAGTAAGGTTTTAGGGGTAATTCCTCCCTTAAGCCAAAGAACCTGAGAAAATCATTACTTGTAAATTCTGACCAATCAGAATTCTCACAGCATACAAAAAGAACTTTGCAAATAGACTGAATAAAAATACCATGAAAAATCCTGACACAGAAAAAGGCTCCTAACTTCAACAGTGCTCTCTGGCCCCACAAACTGAATTACACTTTGAAATAAAACATGTTTTCAACATGTGCTGTTGTACTTCCCTATTGGCAGGAATTAAATTTCAGTAACACATGTCCAAGAAACTAAAACTGGTCCCAACATAAGTTAGCAAAGCATTTTGTTTGCTGAGGTCATCATTTACATATGTATCTGCATTTCCTAAGTATTTCCATGGGGCAATAACCATTTTTTCAAACCCTACAGTACTCATGACATTTTGAAAAGCCAGTTGCAAGGTGAATTTGTTTGCCATGACAGACTGCAAAGCAACACATTCCTTGTCTGCTAAAATTGACCAAAGCTGATTTCATAACCTTTGCAGGTATATGTTAAATACGATTTTCCTCAACAGAATTTTATTTCGATAGTTTGTAGGCAAACTATAAAAATGCTAAAGATCCTCCTGAAGTTTTTGTGTGTCATTTATCAATAGTTAGTATTTAATAAAAAGAAGTGCATGTATTTTGATGGAAAAATGAAAATCCAACCATATGAAATACTGTCCTTTTAGTAGAGCCACTTCCTTTCCTTAAAGATTTCTTTCGTGGGGCTGCCTGCTGGCTCCAACGGTAGAACCTCCCACTCTCGATCTCAGGGTTGTGAGTTCGAGCCCCACAAAGGCTGTAGAGATGACTTAAAAATAAAATCTTAAAAACTTTTTTATTTAGGATGCGTTGTTTACCAAGTTAAAAAAATTCAAAAACTGTCAAAACACCAAGGAAATCGTATGGTTTAGTAAAGCATTTGTTAGTAAAAGAGTTTACACAAAAGCAAATCATTGCCAGGCAGAGATAAAAGTACCGATTGTCAGCTTATTTTCCAAAGAAACGTTCAAGAACTTACTTCTCCAACGTCCAGTGGCAGGTTGCAAACAATGAATATATTCTGTAAGTCTCCTCTCAAAAGCCTTGAGATCTAGGTAAAAAGATTTCAATTTTCCAATTGAGCCACTCTTACTAGTTTGCATCCATTAAGATGAAATTTTAGATACTCTAACTGCTTCAGGTCTTACACACCAACTTACATGTATCACTGCACTGTTTACTTCGTTTACTAGGACAGCTTTAAGCACTTGACAGAAACATTACGTTTCTTTAATTCCAATTTCACATATAAGGAAACTGGCTGGTTCACTTTTAGGAGCTTCGTAAAATGGTATGTGGAAAATCAGCAGCAGCCTCAGCCGGCGCCAAAAGCTAGAATTTTGGGGGTTGCAAATAAAAGGATCAGAATCAGGTCGAGTTTTAATTCTGCCGGAACCAAGAACCTTCTACTAGAACAATGTATTCCCTAACATCAAAGTCTTCGAGGTCTCTTTGACCGCAACGACCCGATTCCGATTTCTAGCCCTTCTGTGTAATTAATTAATGGCTACGCTTCGCGTCCGGTCTCACTGGATTTCTGATTCGGCTAACGGGTGGGTGTGGAGACACTCCCCTTTCCTCCCACAGAATGGGTTACAGGTGACCCACCGGGCACTATCAGAGCTCAAGCTCGGAGGCCTTCTGAAAGGGGCGTCCAAAGTGCTCCTGAGTGAGCAAGGTGGGCTAGCTTTCCCCAACCGAGTCTTTTAAAGTTTAAAAGGAAATCAAGCCACTCCCTTCCTGTGTCAGGAAACCAGAAACCACAGCAGGACTTACGGGTCCATTTCCCGGGGCTATCGAAATAAAATTGGGTGAATTAGCATACACAAACCGCAAAATGCGAAATGCTTGTTAATGAATAAAAAACAAAAGTTGCCCAGACTAGGGGCTCCCGGTCTGAGCTGGGGAGATGGGAGAGCTGACGCAACGTCCCCCAGCGCCCGCGCAAGCCACGCGCGCGGGAACCAGAGTCCGGCCGCCTCTGGCCGCCCCGAGGCCCCCGCGGCCCCGGCCCCTTCAGTCCATCCTTCGCGGCCTCCTCTCCCCGGGGCGGGGTCTCCGCGACTCTAGCCCCTCCAGCTTCCGGGAGGAGCCCGGGACCTGCCCGGGCGACCCAGGAAGCCCACTCTACCTTCCGCCTGCTCCAGCGAGTTCATGTCGGGCGGCAGCTCGGGTCACCGCCGCGGCCCCGTCCGCATCGCAGCTCCGCGGCCCCCGCCCGGCCCGCAACGCCAACTCCCACCTCTAACCGCTTCCCTCCGCCCCTCACCGTCGCACCGCCCCTTGCCTACACCCGCTGCGGTCATTGGGCACTCTGCCCGACCCGACAACTAAGATGGCTTTCTATTGGTTAGCTCCCGCACCAGCCTCGGGGCCTAGCGTTGGACGGTCTGCCGGAGGGACCAAGACCTGCCGGCGGCCGGGCTGGTGTAACGCTGGCGCCGCCTCCTGCCCCGGGGAGGAACTGCAGCCTGTCGGAGCCAATTCGCTTATAAGTGTGTATTCTTCGTTTCCTGCCTTGTTCTTTCATTCCTCAAATATTTATTGAGCGCCCTTTACCTTCTGGGCAATGTTCTGGTCACTGACGAGGGGTAAAGAAATAAAGGAGCTAGCGCTTCCCTCTAGGACTCGAGGGGATACAAAACTAATGAAAACCCAAATGATGGATTTAGGTTAGATTACCTCTTTCCTTGAAAGCCCAACTTCTTAAGGAAGCATTTCTCCCTTGGTTACTTTTTTCTCATGTTACCCAATTTTCCCAAAGTTTACCAACTTCATAAATCATAAAGAAGGCAAAGAAAGTATGACTACGTTTATATTTAGTTAAAATGTTTCTTGCTAATTTCCTTGTGGTCATTCATTCATTCAAGAACTATTTATTGGGAGATGTTCTAGGCACTGTGTTTTAGCAGGATACACTTATGAGGGGCGCCTGGGTGGCTCAGTGGGTTAAAGCCTCTGCCTTCCGCTCAGGTCATGGATTGAGCCCCGAATCCAGCTCTCTGCTCAGCAGAGAGCCTGCTTCCCCATCTCTCTCTGCTTGCTTCTCTTAAAAAAAAAAAAAAAAAAATACACTTATGACCAAGACAGAGGAGATTCCTGTCTTATTAGAGCAAGATAGAGGAGATTGCTGTCCCATTACAGCAGGTGATAAATATGCAATAAGTAATGCGACTCTTGATCTTGGGGTCCTGAGTTGGAGTGTGCCCCTAGGTGTTAGGCGTACGGTTTACTTAAAACACACACACACACACACACACACACACACACACATGCAAATAAGTAATTGATTTCAGATAAAGATAGTTGTATGAAGGAACTAACAGAGTAATTCCATATGATGAGCCAAAGGAGGGGTAAATAAGTCAACAAATTTAAGCCATAAGTCAAACTCTCCATTTTCACTTCTTTTTTTTTTTTTAAGATTTTATTTATTTATTATTTGACAGACAGAGATCACAGGTAGGCAGAGAGGCAGGCAGAGAGAGGAAGGGAAGCAGGCTCCCTGCTGAGCAGAGAGCCCGATGTGGGGCTCGATCCCAGCACCCTGGGATCATGACCTGAGCCGAAGGCAGAGGCTTTAACCTGCTGAGCCACCCAGGAGCCCCTCCATTTTCACTTCTTGATCAATGCTCCATTTCTCCATCACCAAGTCTTGTTAATCACCCTTCCCTTTGGGACCTAGCAGTGTTAGAGAATGGTTATTGAATATCTGTTATATTACAGACTGTCCTGGGCAAGATCCTGGGGAGGTGAGGAGTGAGACAGATGGCTGAATAGGACAGTCCAAAGCACTGTGATAATGGGAGCTTTGCTAACTTGCCTTCAAAGGAGACCTGATGGGGCACGTGGTGGGTTCCGTAGGTGGAGCCTGTGACTCTTGATCTCAGCTTGTGATTTCGAGCCCCATATGCGGTATAGAGATTACTTAAATAAATGATTAAAAAAAAAAAAAAAAGCAAGACCTGCTAATTGCAGGTTAGCCTGTTTGCCTGATGGGGTAAGCAAGTTTCTATTTCTAGCAAGAACTTGGGACAACAGAAGGAAGACCAAGGACTACCTCCTGGGTACTCCCTGTCCTCTCATTTTCAACTGTGCTCAAATAAATGTTGAACGTGCCTTTGAAAGAGTATACATTCTTAGTGTGTCACCAGCATCTACATGTGTGGGTTCTGGGTGTTCAGAGGCAGTAAGGGAGGAGAGCAGGAAAATGGGCCTCATAGGTTAGGAAATTTAGAACCCAAGGTATTGGGGAGACCAAAGGATATAGATTTGTAAAAGCATCGTGTCAATGAGATTTGGCAAGAACACAGTCAACAAGAAGTCGTAAATGTTCAGGCACTGGGACATAAACTGGGAATGCAAAGATATCTACAACTAATTCCTGCCTTCTGTAAGGGTAGAACTCAGTGTGAAAACAAAATGAAACACCAGCTGAAAACATCAGGGATGAGATGAAGATCCACTTTGAAGAGGGCAGTCCAGGACAATAGCTAACGATTGTTATATTTTTCTAGGGGGTTTGGCACGACACCTTTTATACTTCAGGACTGCTATAGCTCCTTTAAGCCCTCCATCAACAGCTCTGAGTCCAAGAGTGTCTATTACACCCGTTGCGGAGATGAGTTTATAGATGAGCAGGTGAATTGATCAATTCCAACCTTGTGGCTGGAGTTACTATTGACCTTTCTCTCTCTCTTCTTCCACGAGGTACATCAGATCACTTGGCAAATCTTGTTGGCTTTGCCCTCGGCATGCCTCTACCCTGAGATTATGACCTGATCCAAAGGCAGACGTTAACCAACTGAGCCACCCAGGCGCCCCTTCATACATTTTTATTTATTTAAAAAATTTTGTGGTGGGGGGGGGTGCCTGGTGGCTCTGCTTGGCAGAGAGCCTGCTTGGTGCCCCTTTGATGGATTTCTATCTTTGCTATTTTCCATCGATGTCCTCTACTAACTACTTAAATTACAATATTTGGTAATTTCCCCCTTATAAAACTTTTCTATTATTTTCCATGGGTTAAAAGTGGCAGGGCCTTGGTGCCTGGATGGCTCAGTGGGTTAAGCCTCTGCCTTCGGCTCCAGTCATGATCCCGGGGTCTCGGATCAAGCCCCACATCAGGCTTTCTGCTCAGTGGGGAGCCTGCTTCCCCCTCACTCTCTCTGCCTGCCTCTCTGCCTACTTGTGATCTCTGTCAAATAAATAAATAAAATCTTAAAAAAAAAAAAGTGGCAGGGCAGTAGGCAAACTTCAGGCCATATGACGGCTCAGCCCGGGCGGGGAATTTCAGTCCCTTCACTGGGCACCCATCCGCAGCCTAGGATGCGGTGGGGGAGGGGACGGACACAGGCATCCCTCCTATGGGGCCTTTTAGGGCAGGAATGCCTTCACGGGAGGGCAGGATGGTGATCAATAGTGATTCTGAATCTTTGGGGGATTCCTCCAGTTGCTTTCGACACCCTGGGACCTCTGACATGTCCTGAGTGGGACGCCACCCAGGAGTTAGGGGTGGGATAATGAATGATAATGAACCTTCTTTACTTTTCTGGGAGCATGGCCTCAATACTAGGCTTCTTCTTCGGTTCCCTTGGGGTAACATTTTTTTAAGAGTGAAAGAGAGAGAGAGGAGGAAGAGAGGGAGAGGGATAAGCAGGCTCAGCGCAGAGCTGGACGCGGGCTTGATCTCATGACCCTGGGATCATGACCTGAGCTGAAATCAAGAGTCAGATGCTTAACGGGATGGGCCACCCAGGTGCCCCTTGGGATGTCTTTTAACTCACTGGAAACAACTCAGATTGCAAAATTTAGGAAAGGACTGATCTCCTGTAACCCTTCATGGCCACAGTGGGATTAGTCAGTTAGATCTCACCCGCAGGAAACAGGGCAGAAAAGTATTCGCCCAAAGGTGTCTGGCTAGTAAACCCTTTCCTGAGATGCTGGAAGATAATCATCTAAACAGGCCTCCTCCAGATAAACCCAGGGTGCTGGAAACATAGGCCCTCCCTAGCGAAGGGGAACCTGACTCTCTTGTCAGTGTTCCTCCTCCTAATAGACATGGGGGCTTCTCCCTCACTTATTTCTTAGGTTAATGGCTATAATTGGAGTCAACTGTGGTTGGTCTCCCTCGGGATGGGGACTTTCAGGAATATTCTCAAGCAACTGCTGGAAACTCCCTTTGTTTCAGGGAAATTCCGTCTTCTCTGGCCCGACATGGACTGACTAACCCTTCCCCGCTTGCTGGTGGGAAAACATGGCGTCTGCTTCCTTGTTGGAGCTGCTGAGCTCTAAAACCGGGAACCCTTTCTCAGCCTTCTGGTAACACTTTGCCTGTTCTGTCCCCCCAACTCCCCCCACTCCTTCTCCTGTTTCTGCACCACTTCTGGTACAGTCTTCATAACTGGTTTCTAGACCATCCTCAGTGCCTCAGGCACCGTGCCCCTTCTCCCCTCAGGGTTCCTTCTCCCCTCACTGTCAAGGAGCAAGAAGAGCACCCCCTAGATCTAACACCACCCACTCCAGAGTTCCCCAGCAGTGTCTCAGGTAAAAACAACAATGGGTGTTTGGATCCAGGTGGAACAGAATTCAGTATGTAAATGAAGTTTAGTGGTTTAATTAAGATAAGTCTTTAAAGATATCAGGACTAAATGGGAAACTTTGATTCTATCAAGGTTTGCTGAAGGTCAAATAAGCTCATATTATCTGTTGCAATTTGTTAGCAAAAAGACAACTTAAAAGGATGGTTAATCTTGTCTGCCTCAAAGTTTTCAAAGGGTAATTAAGGTAGCTTTCAAAGTCTGGGAACCTGAAACTTAAAATAGTTTTGCTTGGACAATAAATGGGATTAAATTCATTGCACATCTAAGTCTTTTCCAGGTAGGATAAAGTGCTAACGCATCAATTACTGGATGTAGGTTTATGCTTTTGACTTCTTCTTACAAAAAACAAAGGATAT